GCCTGGGGGCAGCATTGTGTGCCCCAATACATTCTCTCTCCAAGCTGCATGCAATTAAAAAACAGAATGTCACATGAAGAAGGCTAAATAAAGACAATGAAGAGCATCCTAGGTGTTCAAGTCAAGGTGGCCACCAGATGGTTCCAGAAGTGTCTGGGTTTGGAAGTGGCCCGTCAGGTTTTATGCATATGCATTCCCCAAGCCCTAGCATTCTCCACCACTGGGTGAAGAAAACAACCCTTATGATATACAATGGTGACTTGCAATGTTTTCCTCCCTGGGGCCCAAAGATCTCTCTGCACAGCAAACAAGTTATCAGCAGAGAGAATAGTTAACTCCAGCTATGTTCTCCCCTCCCCGCCCCCTCTTTAGGCATCAGATCCACTTCTCTCCCGCCTTTCACAATGTGCAGCTCAACTACACTTTTCATAATACCACTCCAATCATGTTTCATCTGTTCATTTCTCTGTCTGCTTTTTTAGGGGTGATAGAATAGTGGCTGATAGAGCAAGAGGAACCGTAAAAATCCAGGGCTCTGTCCACAAACCCCAAGGGGAAAGTATGCCAAAGGGAAGGACAGGGTATGCCATGCTGTCAAATGCTTCTGAGAGATTCAGGAAGCTGTGCCCTCTGCAAGCAGAAATTCATCTGTGACCCTTGAGAGAACCATATCCTCGGAGTGGTGGGAGAGAAAGCCAGAATACAGAGTATGAGAGCCAATGAATGGTGGTGCCCCAAGACAGTAAGTGTGAATCTATTAGTCAATTGAACAGGGTTAACGTCCTTAGCCCCAAGTCAGTCTTCTGTCCGTGTTGTCATACTGTTGCTGTAATGCCAGAAGTTAGGTTGCTGGTATTTCAAAGACCAGCAGTCACCTACGGCGAACAGGTCTCAGTGGAGCTTCCAGGCTAAGAACAGACTAGGGAGAAGGCAAAGACGGTCCCACTTCTGAAAATTATCTCCTGAAGGTCTTAAAAATGGCAGTGAAACATTGGTATAGTGCTCAAGGATAAGCCCCTCAGATTGGAAGGCACGATCCCTATAAATTCCATCTAGTAAGGTCTATTTGCAGAGCTGCTATTTCTTGTTGCTGACCAAAGGGTGTTTGTAATGAAGAAGTCATTGGTCTTCCCAAATCCTACCAGGAGAATTCCAGGGTCATTTTGATCACCCAGGTCATAGTTTACTATGCTGCAATGGACAAATTGCAGAGGAGCGGTATGGCATTCATCATTTAATAAGTCCATTTCAAGATCTATCTTGAAGCATACTGCTGTCTGTGATAGGATGATATCTATACGCCAGAGCAAGGCCAGGGGGTGAGAATGGAACCGACCATCAATTACTCATATGTAAGCTCAGGTTGAAGTTGAGAAAAAGTAAAACAAGTCCATGAAAGCCAAACTATAACCTTAAGCGTGTCCCACGTGCATTTCAGCATAGCCAGCATGAATTGAGAGACCATCTCAAGAACATATTTGGATGCCTTGGACACTAAGGAAAGAAGACCAGCTACGTGGTGGTGTGGCATCAAGCACATCACATACGAGCAAAGCAGAAGGCCAGTCAAAAGACCGAAAAAGAAAAGACCAAAATGACTATCCAACGAGACTCTGAAACTTGTTTGTGCATGTCGTTAAAGTGAATCACAGCATTTCGGCGCTCTGTCTGTTCTTAGTCTAGAAGCTCCTCTGAAAACTGCTCACTTTTGGGGACCCTCTGGTGTGTGAAATACCAGTGACCCAGCTTCCGGCGTCACAGCAATACACAGGCCACCACAGCACAACTAACAGACGAGTGGTAGGCTGCTAAAACGACAACCCGACCTGTTTTGGAAGAAATACGGCCAGTGTGCTCCTGAGAGACGAAGGATGGCAGGACTTCATTCTTTTTCCAGGAATGCTATGAAAATAAAGAGTGGGATGATTCAATAAATGACCACTAGCAATGTTTCACTCTCAGGAAGCCAAAATCCCCCTCAACAAAGAGAAGGGTATTCTTAGTAACCGATGTAATCTCATCTTAAATAATTGATGGAGTCCCTTCTAGGGTATTCCTTCTTTTATATTTTATATTTCCTGAACCCAGTAGGATGTCATCCGTCGAGTGAGCATTCACTAAATACTTACTGTGGGGTCGGGGTGGAGAAGGCAGGCAGTGGGGGAGAGAAAGAACTCACTGCTTTCGTCTACAGGGTATTGCAGTGGTTAGCTCTTGCGGAAAGATGGAAGATGAAACTGTCTTAAATGGCAAAAGTCTTTTACATTTCTTCAGCAGACCAAGCTCAAATGTCACCATCCCTGCTAATGTTCTCTAAACTCTTGCTTTTCAGATACTTCCGTCTTTTGCGTTGCATCGAGTTTGGGTTAAGGGCTTGGAGACGGAAATGACAGCTCCGTTTCCACAACATTTTACTTCCAGGACATATCACCCAGCAATGTAGTCCTTTGTGTTCCCTTGTGGCATATTACAGGGTCATTTCATTTAAAATGTGAGGTGCAGGTGATGGCTGACAACTCTCTGGTTGCTAGAGTGTCAAAGGCAGTAGACAGAAGACATCAACTACACATCACTTTGATATTGACTCTCAAGGTTTTAGTACATCTCTGCTAGAGTAGAAAATTTTCCCAATGGCTCTTTAATGGAGCAGACCTTTACCAAAGGAATAAATCCCCTCACTAGCAGAATAAAAATGTTAAAACACACGCACATACACACACACTCCCATCAAGTCGATTCGGACTCCCAGTGACCCTGTAGGACAGGCCCCTGTGGGTTTCCATGCCTGTAACTCTTAGTGGGAGTATAAGGCCTCATTTCTTGTGAGGAGCAGCTGGTGGTTTCAAACTGCTGACCTAACGGTTAATGGCCCATCGCACAATCCACTATGCCACCAAGGCTCCCAGCAGAATCACCAGTGAATCAAATGATCCAGTGAGCAAACTAGGTTCTTACCATACCCACAAAGTAAGAAGCATATCTAAGATCAATGTTTCTCAACCTTTATTATTATTATTATTATTATTATTATTATTATTGTCTTTGGGTATTTCTCTCCTAATCTCTTTGCCCTAAGAAAAATGTAATACCATAGAAACTCCAAATAAAATAAAATAAAATAAAGAAACTCCAAAATCAAAGCTATGATTAAGTCAATGCTGACTCATATTGAGTCCCTGCTGTGGGTTTCCGAAAAGGTAACAGTGTTTCTCCTGCAGAGCGGCTGGTGGTTTTGAGCAGCGGACCATGTGGATCGCAGGCCAACTTGTAGCCACGACACCACCAGGGCTCCTGTGGGACCACAGGCAGGCCGCGGATCCATGCACTGTTGCACTGTGGAAAGCAACAAACCACTGTAATGTGGAAGGCTGACTTCCTCCCTGCTGGAAGAACCAATTTCCACCCCTTGAGAACACAGGTCTTAGATTATGTTTGCTAGTGCACACTGCTTGGATTCCGATGGTGTCTCACCAATTACCAGATGTCTACGTGCCAAGCGAAGGTCCCTGTGTGGTGCAAATGGTTCAACACTAGCCTACCAATGGAAGGCTGGAACCCACCCAGAGGTACCTTGACAGACTACCCTGGTGATCTGTTTCCATGACGATTACAACCAAGAAAACGCTATGGAGTCGTTCTGCCCAGCTCACACGGGGCTTCTCAGAGTGAGGATTGACTCAGCTACAACTCATGACCATATATGAAGCTCCACGCCGTTCCCGGAATGTAAGTTTCACCTAGAAAGAATGCTTTGCCATGGAACTTGAAGGTGACTCCACTAGGACACATTACAAAACCTGCAGCCAAAGCTAATTTCCAGAGCAGCCATTGGCAAAGTGGATACACCCCCTACCATCTCTGTAGCATCACATTCTGGTTTCATGCTTACCCCATCATCAAACTTCGTGTGTGTGTGTGTGTGTGTGTGTGTGTGTGTGTGTGTGCAAAGTGGATTAGGAGTTGGGCTTCTAACTGCAAGGTCTGCAGTTCAAAACCACCAACCATCCCAAGGGAGAAAGATGAGGCTTTCTGCTTACCCAAAGATGTATGGCCTCAGAAGCCCACAGGGCCATGTGAGTCCGAGGGTTTGCATTTTCGGTTTGAACTTTTCCCTAAGGCTGCCATAGCTCTGTCTGGGGACCAAAGCAGAAGCCTCGCCTGGGAGCCCCTTATGCAGTGTAGGTGCTCAAGGCTCACTGCAGGCTACTAAACCACGGGCTGTTCTTCAACTAGATTTCCAAGGGATAGGCATATTCAAGTTTGAAAGGCAGTAGTCAAGATAATTCCTGTCCTTGGATGTGATCGTTTGAGTTGTTTGTTTGTTTGTTTGTTTGTTTGTAAGATAACCCCTAAGAGACCAACAGCCAGTCACCATGAGCAGCCCAGTTCTGTTGCGCCAAGCAGGAGTGATGCCGGCACCATTTTGTCAGTGGGCAAGAGGATGGAGGATCAGATTTTCTGCTGTCTCCCCCATTCCCACAGCTTCTCCCCATCATTGTCCCTGTACGGCTTCCTAGATAACCCGAACTCTGAGTGGTCCCCAATGGAGAGGGCCCCGAAGGAGCCATAGGGAGAGCTCCCCTGTCTTGGTTGTTGAGGAACACATGTGTTCGGAACACTGACTGTGGGACTGCCCATCTCTCCGAGGGCGGGGTGGTGTTTGATTGGGTTCACCACTGTAGAATAAAGGAAAGGGAGACGAGAGGAAGGAAGTGAAGATGAAGGAGGAAGATGGAGGTGGGGAGCAAGGAAGGAGGAGAAAGAGGGGAGGGAGGAAGACAGGCAGGCGAGGTGGCCTCTCCAGAACTGAAATCAAGTCTGCAAGCTACCAGGTGTCTTCAAGCATAGGTCTATGAAATGAAAAGCATTCCTTTCCAGGGATGGCGAGTAGATTCGACATGAAAGCTAAACACCTAGCTCACTAGTTTCCTCAGTGTGGTATGCCCAGGACAGAGTCCCAAGCTGTTACGTTTAAATAGATCTCAGACCACCATCAGTTGTGCGAGCAGAAAAGCGAAAACTAGTATTTTATTAAATGAGCCTGGATTGGATTTTTACAAGTGTGCAGACATTCTCAACCAGGAGAGCTGCTCTACTGGAGACGGAGAGTCCCACGAAATGTAAGCAACCATGGGGAAGATGACAGGATCAAATCCCACCTTGTGTTATAACAGTTCCATCTGTGTCGATTCCATTTACAGCCATCACTTTTGACTCTTGCTTCTGTAGTCAGAGACCAGAGTGATTAAATAGGTCTCCGAAAGGATCCATTTCCACTTCCTTCTGCATCTGATTGCAGATATTCCTCACTGTGGGGGGTGGGGGTGGGGAAGTGTGCATATATGTATATAGAGATATATGTATGTCTATATTGACCTGAACTTATTTCTTAAAATGCATAAATATGGTGGCATTCTGCAATCGATAACTCCAACTGCCACATGCCTACACCTACACGTGTGTGCTCAAAGCAATTGTTAAGGATCGTATGAGTAGTCAGCAGCTGATGATTCCAATGACCTTCTTCCTGTGATCAATCGCCTTCTACTTTCACAGATGTTCACAATTTCTTTGAAAAGAAGCAAGTGAAGCAAAATACATCAGCGGCCTTGATATTCTGGAGTGCTAGGCAGTTGCTCAGAAATAAGGGTTGAGCTTCTTGGAGAAGTCGGCCAGCAGCCTTCAGAGAGGGGTGAGCCGCTCGCCCTCTGGCACAAAGGCTTCGTTCAGGTGCACCTCCTTGGTGTCCAGGGGATCACAGGGGATGCCATTCTCCACGGTGATGGGGGTTTCACATTTATCTTCGGCATCTTCTACTTCAGGGAGTCCCTTGCTCTTCCTACAAGCACATAAAAAGAATGACATGGGTTAAGGAGGAGATGGCTTTCTACAGAAGCTGGAGAGCAGAAAGGGGAAGAGGCACCTGACCATGGAGACGGAAGCTGATGGGATTGTGTACAGTCAGAGAAACGTCAACGATCATAAAGAGCTGCTGAGGTGAAAGGTACCAGCTAGATAAAACGTCTTCATGGATGACATATTCAGATGGACCAAAATAAGTGGTCTACTAAAAATACTGGACTTAATACGAGGATAAGTCAAAAGTATATGTGTGTACGCAGACAGACATGTGTTTACTGCCAAGAAAATGTGTTTAGACACATCTCTGCAATCAGCAGTGGGCTGCGGACATGTTCTCTCAGTACTATCTTTTTCTTAGATGCATTAGGGTGCCTTCATTTTTTAAAATGGCCAATCAAAACAGTAGCCTCCTTGAGACTTGTTTAAAGGTTCTAGCAAGGGAGCACAGCTACTCATATACCCTTGACCGAAGGATGGTCCTCCTTCCATCAGGGTGGGCTGTTCTTCAACCAAGTGCACAAATTCGGGAGGTAACCAAGTCCCCAAGGAATCCTGAAAATAGACTTCTGACTCAGGGGATAGGGCTTACCACCTCATCAGACCTGATTGGAAAACACTCATAAGGGTCAGCAGACAGACTGTGTGTGTGTACGTGTATATTTCTTTTGCCCTATGTCTATCTATATAACATAGACAGGACAAACAATCCTGAGAAGAAACCAACAGGACAAATAATCCTGAGAAGAAAATCGACAGGACAAACAATCCTGAGGAGAAAACAACAGGACTGGCGGTCTGGAGGGGGTGGGGATGGGAGAAGAAGGGGTGGGGACGGGGAGTGGTGAACCAACAAACTCAGGGATGAGGGAACAAGAGATCTAAAAATGATGGTGAGGAGGCCTGGTGGGTTTGATCAAGTGCAATATATCCAAGAGGAATTACTGAGAGCCGAGTGGAGGGTGAGCATGATAGTGGGACAGGAGGAAGGTGAAAGGAAATAGAGGAAAGAAGTAGGAAGTAAAAGCTATGAATAGAGGTATAGCTATAGGCATGTATATATGTAAATATATCAATTTATAATGAAAGGGATAGAGACCAATGTACATCTATTTTTATGTTAAGTATTGAGATACCAGATGGACTTTGGGCCTCTACTAAAGGCCTCCCTAAACACAAGAACCCTTTGTTCAAGTAACCTGGCACTCATTGATACTCACCTTCCCAACACCATCAATGAAGACAAAATGGGTGCATAAGCAAAGTGGTGAAGAAAGGGGATGGAGCCCAACTATCAAAAGATAAAGCATCTGGGGTCTTAAAGGCTTGAGGTTAAACAAGCGGCCATCTAGCAGGGAAGCAAATAAGCCCACATGGAAGAAGCACACCAGCCTGTGTGATCACGAGGCATAGAAGGGATTGAGTATTAGGTATCAAAAGACCCAAAACAAATAATTACATCAATTCTGAATGAGGGGAGTTGGAGTGGAGACCCAAAGACCATCTGTAGACATTTGGACATCCCCCCACAGAAAGGTTACAAGCAAGGGACAATTCAACTAGGGTACAGTATAGCCCCGGAGAAACACACATCATTCCTCTAGTTCCTGAATGCTTCCAACCCCCACTACCATGGCCCAGTTCTACCTTAAAAATCTGGCTAAACTGGAGTACACACATTGGTATAGATAAGAGGTCTCAACACATGGAATCCAGGACAGATAAACCCCTCAAGAATAGTAGTGGGAGTAGTGATATCATGAGGGTAGGGGGATGGGGGGTAGAAAGGGGGAACCCATCACAAGGTTGGATAGATAGCCCAACCCCCCAGGGGGACGAATAACAGAAATGTAGGTGAAGGGAAACAATGGACGGTGTAAGACATGAAATAACAACAATAATATATCATTGATCAAGGATTCACAAGGCTGGGAGGGTGGAGGAGGGAGGGGGAAAAAGAGGAGCTGATACCGAGGGCTCAAGTAGAAAGAACATATTTTGGAAATGTTGATGGCAACATATGTACAAGTGTGCTCGATACAATTGACATCAGATTTGTAAGAGCCCCCCCACCTAAAATGGTTAATTAAAAAATTAAAAGTGGCTTCTGCAGGGCCCTGCTGGGCCAGTACAATTCCAGGCAGCGAGGTGAGCTCAGGTTACAGGCACTTTATTTGGGCCCTAAGGGCTCATCTTGATATATTTTCTCCAAGGATACAGATGGTCATGGGGGGTTGCATGAGTGAGAGAGAAGGCAGGAAGGCTGCACTGAGAAGGATGTTCCCATCAGGACAGTGCATCTGCTCAGACTCAGAGCGTAGCAAAGACCGTCTCACAAGAAATTCATTGGAAAACCTTATCCCAACCACCCTGCAACCCGGATCTTGCCCCTTCCCATTTCAATGTGTTCCCCTAACGCAAAGATCTTTTCAGAGGAACATGACTGGAGGCCCTGGAGAAAGGCAACACTGCTGTTTTGACATGGTGTACATGGAAGGATGCCTGGGAAGGTCAGTGAGATGGGAGCCCCTCTTTCAGAAGTGCATCCACCTAGATGGAGGCTCTGTCAAGAGACAATCAAAGATGACTAATCCAGTGAAGAAGTGGGTCACATGCACATATATTTATGCGGCAATACACTGAGGGAGGGGATGGACTTTGGACCTCTGTTCATACCCTCCCTCAATTCAAGAACACTTTGTTCTAACCAATCGGCAGTCTGAGAGGTTCACCCTCCTGACACAATTGCTGAAAACAAAACAGGTGCATATGCAAATGTGGTGAAGAGGGTCGATGGTGCCCAGCTGTTAAAAGATACAGTGTCTGGGGTCTTAAAGGCTTGAAGTTACACAAGCAGTGAAGCAACAAGTCCACATGGAAGAAGCACACTACCAGTGCGATCATGAGGAGTCATAGGGACCAGGTAATAGGTATCAGCAGACACATAAAAAACAAAAACATATTGTTGAGAACGAGGGGGCCTGGAGCGGAAATCCAAAGCCCATATGTGGATAGTTGAACACTCTCCCCACAGAGGGTCCACAGGGAGGGGATGAGTCACCAGGGTGCAGTAAAGCATCGATGAAACACACTATATTCCTCTGGTTTTTTGAGGCTTCCTCACCCCCCAACAACCATGACCCTAGTGCTGCTTCCCAGTTCAGACTAGACCAGAACATGTACACAGATATCAAAAGGGATGGGAGCTCACAACACACAGAATCCAGGAGTGAGAATGCTGATGCCAGAAGGACAGGGGGAAGTGGGGGAGAGGAAGGGAGAAAGGGGAAACCGATCACAATGATCGACACATAATCATACACACCTCTATAGGGTGAAGAACAACAGAAAACATGGGGGAAGGAAGACAGAGGTTGGTGGGAGGGATGAAAATATTAACAATGTACAATCTATCAGGAGGCTATGAGGATGGGCGGGTGGGCAGAGTGAGGAGGAAAAAAAAGAGCTGGTACCGAGGGCTCAATAGAAAGTAAATGTCTAGAAGAGAATGAGGGCAACACATGAAAAAACATGCCTGATTCAATTGATGTATGGATTGTGATACAAGTTGTATGAGCCCCCAATAAAGTTTTTTTTTTAAAGAAGTGGGCCAAAGACAAGAGCAGACAATTCACCAAAGAAGGCAACCAGGTGGCCAACGAGCATATGAAGAAACACTTGCCATCACTATCCATTTGAGAGATGCCAAGCCAAACAATGATGAGAGGAGATGCCACCTCACCCAAGCATTAATAGCAAAGTTAAAGAAAAAACCCAGAAAATAACAAATTCTGGAGAGAGGGGATATAGAGACGAGAACTCTCATACACTGCTGGTAGGATGGAAGCGATTGCCCTGAGATAATCTTGAAACTTTAAATCAAAACTATCCCCTACTCTAAAATGATGTGGGAGTGATTGCACAATTCTCCTTCATATGATTGAACTCTTGAATGATACAATAAGTAAATTACTTGCCAATAAAACTGTTGGAAAACAAAACAAAAGAAAAAACATTCCCTGAAGTCATCTTAAAACAAAACAGTAGTTTAACTTAACTAGTAAAAAAAAAAAAAAAGGTCTGTCTCAAGCACTGTACTCTTTTTGAAGGACAACCCATCGAGGATCAAATTGACCACAGCAGCTAGCAAGACAGAAACCTTAGGGGGCAGTGAGTTTATGTTCACGGAAGAGGAACCACTCAGAAAAGAGAGTAAGAATGGTTGTCCAATGCGAAGAAAGTACTCAGTATCAAGCACTGAGCTGTACAGTGCAGAATGGTCGAAAGTGTTGAATGCGTGCCTGTTGGGTTTTATACAGTCTCAACAACCGCCACAAAATCTATACGATTATTAATAAATTGTAACGATCTGTACAATTGTTAATAAATACAGTTTTAATGGTCCAACCTCACCGTGAACTGTACGTGTGGTATGGAATTCCTGTTGCAAACTGGCCTGAGTGAATAGAGCCTAGTGAAATAGATGTCAATTCGATGGTATCTTAAAAAGAATTGGTTGTCAGGTGTCTATTTGTCAACTTCTTTAGTTAGATAAATAAAGAAAGAAAGAAAGTTCTTCTGGAATTCGAAGGAAACTGGCAGAGACCTAGGCCTGACACACAGCTCTTTACCAGCAACTTCACCTTTCTTTCCCAGTCCCAAAGGCCAAAGAGACCATTGACTATCCCAGGGCAATGGGAGAGAACTTGCAAAGGAAGCTGCAAATCGAGGGCGACGGCTGTCTTGTCCTTAGAAGATGGATCATGTCTCTCTCAGCTCAAGAATGTCTAAGGGCAGTCACTGCGGAAATATATCACACTCAGTCGTATGGTGGCAAATTAGGTCCAGATTGTTTTCACGACCTCGGGTCCAGTCGGTCTTTACACTGTTGGGCTTCACAAACTGCAGCGTCAGGAGCTTGCTCGCTGGTGGGCACGATAAGCAGCTCAAAGGTTATCCCACAGTAAAGCGGTACTTTGT